CTTTAAACGGCTGTATAATTAAACTCACGTAACCTTTAGGGCGGATGCATGGGTTGGGTTGCAGACGGTGCTTTTGCACCCTCTTAAGAAAAATAAGTGTTGTACTACTGTTGACATAAATTACCGGTAAGCTTTTTAAGGTTTGAGAGTGCAATTTCCTGGCACCTAAAATCCATATTCTCAAAACGTTCGCACCTCACCTCCAACCATGGTGGGGCTGAGGTGGTATGAACTTTCATGCACCCGCAATCACCAAACCCTGCGTCCGCCTCTGAACTTCATAATAAAATTTTATTTGAATTTTTTTCAAACTGTTATTAAACACAAAGTTTATATTTTTGCTAGGAGTAACTGGTTTGACTTGTTTTTGCTAGTTTTTGTTGTATACGTCGTCAATGGTGTGTCAGACTATGCTTTGTAGCCCACCCACTGCATAAAATAGACTATAGATCATCAAAACGACAGTCGCGCCACTCGTGAGAAGAGGGGTGTCTAGGGGGGAGAAGGAGCATTACTCCCGTCGGGACGAAGCCAACAATTTTGTCGAGGAGCCCTTGTTTGAAAAGGCATTTCTACTGTCAAGAGTATCATTTCAGGACACTTACTGTAGAGGTGCTTTTCTTAATTATTAGGTATGACGCAACTGACTAAACAGCCATCTTTCTGGGACGTATCCAGGGGTGGGAAAAGCCGTGGGAGCGACGGCTCCCTCTTTGTACACAGTGTTAGAATTTTAAAGCTTGTTCTTGCTAGCCAAAAAAAATTCTCGCCTGGGATCAGTCAAACGTCTAAACTATGTAAATATGCATCGGCACACAATATACATATAGATCTAATAAGCCTACTATAACTATAACACACAGGCCTAAGCGTGATTTTTTTTTTTAGCAAATTACAAATACAAATTAAGCATGGTTTGATGTTATAAATCATTTTGCTGTCGTACGCTATGTGATAGTTATAGTCAACTCCGAAGACGGCGTGTCACTTTTATGCAATAACAAATAAATAGGGGCCTAGAAAAAAAAACAAGTAGAGTTTGGTGTTGATTTAAATGTAAGGTACGGGTTTTACCCGTCTCCTTATATGTTATGCTACATGTTAGATTTTTATTTACTTCCTTGTTCATTATGCCGATGCAATTCCTATATAAATTAATGGTTAATTCATGTGGAACTATGTTTATCTATAAAAGTTATGTAATATTACATAATGATTTCATAGACGCTTTGGTAGATTTTAGTGTAGCCCTGTGTTGCTACGCAGTAATAAGTAGTTCATAATCATAATTTATACTTTTTTATTATATAATATTATTTAACAATGGTTTATACTAGTGTTTTGTATTTGTATTATATTTGACCTGATTATATGAGAGTTACTACTATTTCAATAAGAATACAATCAAGTTAATCGTATCTTAGCGCGGAGTGTGATTCCGCAGGTTCTTTGTTATGAGGATTAGCGCGTCTAATTAAGGAAAGTTTGTGGCACTGTGGCGCAACAATGCTAGAAGTCAATGGGTCAACATTTTGTAAAGTTTTGAGAAGCATAAGTTTGTCAAATCAGAGTACTGTATTGCCAGTATTGGCAAGGTATGTTGTATTTATTTAACACATTTATATTATTGGTTAGAACTGTATTGCTAATGATTTATTTTGATTTTAATCTATGATTTTATCATACTATAGGGAGACGAGCGGTATTTGCCTGTCTCAGCTGTGCGCTGTAATTTGAAGTTCATTATGCTTAGCTAGACTCTAGAGTTGCTAGACATTGCTAGCATACTGTATTCTAGTGCTGTTATTTTGTAACTCAAGTTATTATCTTGTGATACAGGACCAGTAAGGATCATCAAGATTATGGAATGTATTATAACATGATAGTTGAATTAAATTGTTTAATATTGTAAAGAATACCAAGTTTTGTAACTGGTGGATGTAGGCCAAAGGTCATGCCAGCTACAGCATTACCGTGTATTGAAGTGCTATGTTATTTTAATTAACAGGACTTGCTATAGGCAGGGCTAAATGCAGAGATACAGAGTTGCATCCTAGCATGAAGCTTGTGCAAGGTAGGATTAAGTTCCTTTGTTTACTTTTATTCAATAGTTGTGTATGACAACTATGTGTTATTTTATTTCTTGTACCTATTTATGATTATTGTGATTGAAGTGTTACATATGAGAGATGTTATGATTATTATACTTTGATAATCATGTTAGACAGCACCTTTATTTGCTATTCTTACATTAGTAATTAATTTTATGCTTGATTTAATGATTCTTTCCTTTTATGTTTTCTGTAAAGGCAGTAAGCCAGTTGAATCATTATCAGTTACAGTACTTTAATGGAACCTATGTTACTATCACTGTGCACCGGTTTATTGGTGTATTGATTATTAATTATTATTTGTTACTTTGTAATTTTAAGCCAATGGTTTCTTACGAACTTCAATGCCATAATTAATGCTAGATATAATGAACCAATTGGTCAGTTGTGGTTGCACCTCGCAATGGCTGTACTTTCATGGTTGCTATTATTGTTTTATGCTAACTAACTATTATTTTTATGATTGTTGATATGATTATATGGATCTTATAATTAATACTACTTTACTTTATTTTACTAGCTTGATGTGTGCTGGCATCTATTGCCCGGTCAAGTTGGGGGTTAAGATATAGTTTGGTATAATTTCCTAGTTCCTATTCGAAATAAATAACTCGTCGTTGAAGTCAACATCATCTCTCTGACCGTTATTTCTCCTGTGTTTTACATCAATATACTCAACACATTTATTATTATAAAACAAAAAAAAAACACAAAAAAAACCGATTCTTCTTCTTCCTCCTCTTCTTCTTCTACTACTTCTTAACTCTCATTTTGTATACTGAATATAATAGTACTATTTTACTACGACAGGGCCATCGTTAAATTAACGCATCTATAGTTTAGAGTTGTAGATCTGTCTCTTATACACATCTCTTTAGGTCATGGAGTTAGGGCACTCGCAGTCATTTTAATACTAGAAATGTGTTTTGGCGGCCATTTTGAATATTTATTTTGCATTTCGCAATAAAGATGTATGCTATGGTGTTTTATATATGTTCTATGGATTCCTTGAACGAAACAACATAGGTTTTGACACCAAGATTGTAATAATATGACACTTAGAGACTTCAAACTGCCAAAATTGTGTTATTTTTTTTGTGGCCATTTTGAATATTTTATTAAATTTTGCATTTTCACGATAAAGATGTACGTTAATGTATTTTAATAATGTTTTAATGGATTCCTTGAACCAAAGAACATATACATTGACACCAAGATCATTGTAATATGGACACTTATACTGTAGTATTTAAACTGCAAAATTTGTGTTTTTTGGCGGCCATTCGGATTTTTCAAATTTTCGGTGGGAACAGTTGGAGTGACATCGTTGGTCCCGCAATTTTTGGAATCGGCATACTCAAAAACCCCCTAGGACAAAGTTTCATCCTTCTTTCCAGAAGTGCACGTCTTGACCAAAAATGTCAAATATCCGCCCCACTATGTCCTTAAAACGAGGAAAGTGGTTGATGTCAAAATCTACATACCGCCCTCTAAGGTCTGCTTATAAGGCATACAATTTACTGGATGCACTCCACATTGTTTAGAAGTTTGTATACATTTTGTAACATTTGCACATACATTATTTCTGCTGTTTGTGGGTAGGTTACAATCAAGTGTTGTTATAATATTAAAGTGTACGCAGTTGTAGCTTGAGAGGTAGATCATGGGGTCCCCCACATATTTTAAGGGGGTTTGTAATTGGATAATAGAGAAATTCATTCCCTATGATTTAAAAGCATGTTTGTCAAGAAACTTCTAATTAAGATATATTAGAAATGTCAAAGGTTTGGCTTAAAAGTTCCAATCAACTGTGTGGGAAAGTAAATGTCCAATTGCCCAGGGGTGAATGCTTGTTACTTTAGAATGACCAATAATATATCAATACTACAATTGTAGTAAACACATTACGGCTTCATGCTAAGTTGAAACAAAGTTGAAACATTCAACAGGTGAAGGGTATCAATAAACAAATTACAATGGTTATATAAGTTAAATATTATTGAACCTTAATACTACAGTACACACTTTCTCTCTCTCCTTCCCTCTTACCCCATCTCTCTCTATCAGGTTGTTTCCATCTGACTGCATCTGTACTTGTTCTAACAACCTGTTAACCCAGCAAACACAAAACGTTCTTATAAAGTTCGCGAACGTTGTGATTAGGTATGTCACACAATAACGTTTACACAACGTTGTAAGAACGTTCAAACGTTGTGAGGTTGTGAAATTAGATTATAACTACGTACATATGATTCTACGAAATAACGTCTTTATCACCAAACTGAACGTTAATAAACGTTCTTATAACGTAATATTGTTAGGTGGGAATACACACGTCTCGTGATTTAATAATGGAGTGGCGTTAACTAGCTTGGTGTTAAGATGTTTCTCTTCCAAACAGGGTTTTTGGTTCAAATCCTGTTACGGTAACATCATGATTTTTTTCTCACGACCAAAACAACTCCACTGCCTAAACATCTTAATGAGACTTAGTTTATGCAGAGCATCTTGTGTTCATGTTTGTCTTGTGAATTGATATGCCACTTTCAATACTGATTATGTTCGCTGCTGGGCATATCATTGGCCTGTGGCCTAAACCAAAGTCAAACATTCTTTCTTTTTTCTTTAAATAGGTATTGAGCCTTTCATGAGGCAATTACATTTAAAATAATTGCTATCCGTAGGCCTAATCTTATTTAAAAAAAATAAAAAAATAAATAAAAATCCGCGATCAAAATGAAATTTAAACTAAATTATGAGGTAAGATAAGAAATGAAGAAGATAATTTCTTCATTGCTTATCAGCCTAATAAAATACAATACAAAATTTCATATCTTTCTAATACCAGTCATAATGCCTCATAACGAGAGTTAGTTTATAATAGTATGTGCATTGGCCTAAGCTTGGGTGGTGCGAATTTGTAGAGAGTGGGGGGGGGGGGTGCGCCTATTGAGAAAACCCTACTGGGATCGAGGTGGCGGAGCTAAGGCATTTTTGATAATTTGAGGTCTTATTTAATCGATATATGAAAACGCATCTATAGTTTAGAGTTGTAGATCAAGGAATTTTCAGGACTTAAGGATGAAAATTAATGATCATGGCACCTCCAAATTGCCAGATATTGCACTGTCATACAATTTGAGTATCATCTTTTTTCCTCATTTTTTTTTTAAATCTTGAACATAGGCGTAGATCCCGGGGGATGGGGGATATATCCCCCGAATATTTGACAGGGGATGGTCCATTGTATCATCCCCCCCCCCCCAATATTTTGACTATGTATGGGATAAAATGGAACTTTACACACTTCAAAAGACTGTCACAGAAATAATTTGCACTGTCTTTATGCGCTTACAAAGATTAAAATTGGCATAATGTATTAATGTTGATAACACAATTATTGTATCTGGTACCAATCTAAGCTCTTCTTTCCTTAGATGTTAGATGTGCTTGCAAAGAGAGCCACATTTCACACTGAATGGTGTGTACGACATCAGTAATGTTATGTCAATTCCAAGAATGTTTAAGGTTATATCGGTTGATGAGGAATTTATTGATTAGGCCTATAGTAGCAAATTGCATCAATTTATTTTGCAAAAACAAGGTTTCCAGATTCAGAGAGGGGCACATCTCCTGTCCGCACAAGGGCACACATTGGCGCTAACACCAGGCGCGTAACAGGGGTCTTGGGTCAGAGTGGGTATATATATTTTTTATTTTTTATTTCAACCATCTTTAAAGAGGGTAACCCTTCTAGTTTAGCCCAGTAGGTTAACTGAC